ACACCTAAAATTCGAACTAATTCCTAACAAACATTAAAACAAAACAAATGAGCGAATAGAGCAGAAGAAGTGCTCACAAAAGATACACCAGTTGATATAAAACAATAGCGTTTCAGAGGAAGAATTTCAATTTGAAAATTGCCATGGCTTATCGGTCGGCCAATTCGAAAAGAAACAGGGCAAACCTTTTTCGGCAACCTAAGGGTGGAATGTTCAGAAGAGGTCATGAGTAAGTAGAGGGTACATCATTGATTGATTTCTCCCAGGGAAAATAAAGTTAGAGCTAGTTGTCGGTTTGGTCAATTTTTGTCGGCTGGACCTCCCATTTCGCAGGCCTAAAATTTGAAAACCTGGAACATAGATGGAAGAAGAACATATCTTGTAGAGCAGACAATTCTCTTTCGAATGGTATATGACTCGATGTAAAAGCATGGGGATTTAGATAAAAATTTTTTGGTTGAAAAAAAGCGACACTATTTATGAGACAACCTAATAAAAAAAACAGACGGGCTGCCTAAGGTGCACCAATTCACCACGCTCGGAGCATGGCAATCAGAGTCTTTTTCCCACCAAATGGATCTTGAATAGCCGAAGATGTGCGAATACCTAAGTACGAGTATCTTCGGTGGCAAAATTTGCAAAATTCGAAGTTCCAGTTTTCATTCACTCATACATGTTTTGGCAGTTTCATTGAACAAAAGATATTCAATATTCAGCTTTTCAATGCTACAACGCTAAACAATACATTGAAGTTGTACAAACCCTCTATATAGAAATGTACCACGCACAGAAACGATCAGCTTCATTTCAATGGGCGCTATACATGTGCCTAGAAAAATACAATGGGCCGTTTTGAAAAAGCGCTCTTCGGCCTAAGTGAAACTTCGATCAGGTTCCATTTCCGCTTCTTTAGTTAACAGCAATTCGAGAAAGACTGGTCATGGATGCGCTCGAAGATATCCAACATTCCCTTTCTGACAAGGTATCGTAGTTTGATGGATATTTTGCTCCTTCAACGTTTTTTCATCTCATCTACTGAGTGCTCTAGGGAAATGGCGCTGCTTCATCGGAAACATCTGAAAGTGAAAATTTGAAGGTACTGGAAGGCTTAAATTTCTTATTATGAACGTTAAAGAGTCTGTAGGAAAGTTTCTAGAAAACGGATGAGCTCAAAACCAAAGTAAAGGGCATGGTTGAAGCCCTCCGAGGGCTTCGAGATCACTTCAGGTGTAGCATCTGCCAAGACGTATTCCACAATCCGGCAACGTGAGTGAAGTTTTCAATGTCCTCATTCGCTTGATTCCACTCATGCTATTCTCATGCTATTATAGAATAGTCAACGGCTATACATATAATACATGTGCTGAATCCTTCCTTCGTGGCTGCGTAGGTGACCATTTGGTGCAAGAAAGTTCAAAGGAAATGACTGTGATGAAGCTCGTGCGTACCGCTAAGTATTGGGTTGTTCGAAAAGTTACCCCTTTCGTTATCATTAGATTGAGTCATAAGTAATTCCCGATTTTTTCATGTCCACACCATCTTGTCCAAACGATGTCGCGTTTTTCCCCGCAAATGGAGTATGTGGCAACGTTAGTGTCTTTTCATATCATAAAATTCGACCATGAGTACTCGTCTTTAGGGAGGCAATGCCGTCTATTTCAACACATGATAATCACTATCAATTTTACGAATCGGTCTGGGGCCTTCAGCGGAAGGAACCTTTCGGAATACGTGGGGGATCTGGAGAGAGCCAGGTTTGTCTAAATGAGATTATCTATTGAAAGTGGTTCGGGAAGCTTTCTTTGCCTTCATGTTCGGCCCTGAAGACGAACCACGTTTCGGACACCCAATGGCCGTAGATAGTGAACCCATGCAAGAGCTTCTTGACGGCAGCGCGTCCTCAGTGACTGTCAAACTGCAGTATACCTTTATTCCATCCAGTACACCATGTGTCGTCCCCTTTGAGCCATGGAGAAGCTGTTCATGGTGGGAAGTGAAATTCTCACGAGTTGGACGAGGTGGCTTGAAAGACAGGTGTGATCACCTTCCAAAAGTTCGCCGTCTAAAAATCGTTGTTTCGAACGGCTTGACAAGCGGTCACTGGGGTTGAGGAGTGCCCAGTCTACGCAAGCAACATACGGAAGGCATCAGTGGGAACAGGCAGCTCAGCGAGCCCTATTAGGTAAACTTCATCCGGAGTAGGTTCCGTTCCCCGATTGTAGGATTGCATCATTACCGACTTTTAACAATACCACGACTGCTGACGCACACACCAACTGCTTAAGCAAACGCGTGGACACCATCGGGTGCGCACGCTTTCCTGCGCGGTCGTGTATGTTTGCCCACAATAGCTGTATTTCTTATTCCATGACTATGCAGAGATTGTTTTCTCACTAATAGAACAACATATCTGAGTGGGACGTCTCCAGGTAATTAGTTAATATTAAATTGGTGATATTTTCAAAAGAGGCTAGTTTGCTAATTGAATTTGCTTGCATAAAGCATTCTTTCAAGCAAGTTTAGCAGTCAGCAATTTTTTCGTAATACAAGTTCGTCGCAAGAATGAGTCAAACCAAGAACCTTCAGAGTAAAGACAGCTGGTAACAGCAAAAGCATCCGCGTTAGGCTGTCGTAGTGTGTTGTTTTCCAGCTTTGCACGAGTGTTCGAAGCCGCGGGCACTAAAGCATTGGAACTAACCATTTAATTTGGCACCCTGGCGAAAGTTCGCTGTACCCTCGTGTATTGAATCCTTGATTATCATAATGTGCCGGCATGGGGTTGGTAACGTACCAAACCTTCAATAGAGCCGTGCGGAGGTAGGAATGTCCAAAATATTCTGCAACTTCATTTAATCGTCAATGCTGTTCAGTAACATGACACAGCAGATTGTGGGGTAATGGGACTTCTAGCTCGCCGTCGCTGTGTTATAAGGCATGAGAAGTTGGACAAACCACGTTTTTGGATCCTTCACAATCGTTGTTGTGTAATCATTTGTTAATTCTAAACGGTACATTACAAGCCAAATAAGTAAAAAAAATATGACGCCGTTTCCTATGATGTTGTGGTTTAACCCAATACTGAGGATAAGAAAGTGAAAAAGACCCTCAAAAGAGAATTTCGAAAAATGTCTGCCCCGTGTGCCCGCATGCGCCACCATGTGACGCACGGTGCGCAAGCGGCGCGGTCATGCGAGCTGGCCACCGCAAAAACGGCTCGGTACGCAATGTGTTAAAATATGCCCCAAAAGCCGGTCGTTTCTTTTAATTCTGTCTATTGTAGAAGCTTCTTCTTCTGATTTTCTAAATGCAGCAGATAATTTCAGAGTCAGTCCATGCAACCACCACTTTTGCTTCGCGAGTGCATCTCAAACTGGCAAAGTCAGAGCGGCGAGTCGCCAGCTACATGTCCTGAGGTAATTTTTCTAGCTATGACACAAGCCATGAATGCTCAGGTCCGGCTTTCAAGCTGAGGCAATGAATAAAAGTAGCAGCACGTCAGCTATCATTGCCGCAGCAATGATAGTTGATGTGCTCTACTGGTTTCCTGAATGCAGCAGAAGTGATTGGGTTTTTTTCAACAGTGTCGTGGGGAAATCGGAAATGCGGCACAGGATTTGCTGATTGATTCTGTTCTTTCTGTGGTATCGGCCATGCTTTCCATGTGATGTCATACGTAATACTTTGATGTTAATATGGTTTGCTGAATCCAATAAATGTCACGGAAATCTGCTTTTTGATTTTTTTGTTTACCTAACCCGTTGGCTGTTCTTGTTTGTTCTTGTTTACCTAACCTTTTCACTGTGATCGCGCCATGTGCAGGTTATTCGCCCTGTTTTGCTACGTGCTGCAGGCGGTGTTTTTTTTGGATGTGTTTGACATTTCCCTGCTCGGATTTCTTGAGAATACAGTGTGTTCTAAATTATCTTCAGCCTACTATTTTTTCAATATTTTCAATAGAAGTCAACCATTTCGCTCCAAATTCTTAGCAGCAACACCTGATGGGAGTTAACCTACTATATATGATTCGCTAAGTATGTCTGTGTGTGTGTGCGTACGTTTGTCACGAAATTCATAGCGCTCTTCGCTGCATCGATGGAACGCCAGTAAGTAGTATGTCATGTTGAGTCAGGACGGAACATATTTTGGTATCTGGGGGTCAGAAAGATAATAACGACTGATAAGAGCTGATAAGAGGCGCTGAAAGGCAAATTTCACGAAATTCATAGCGCACGTCCCAGCAGCAGTGGAGTGTTGGTTCCAAGAAGTTATGTGTAGGGTGGGACGGGAACATGTTCGGTGGGGTACAAGAAGTGATAACGACTGATAAGGGCTGATAAGAGGCGCTGGAAGGCAAATTTCACGAAATTCATAGCGCACGTCCCAGCAGCAGTTAGGTGTCGGCTCCAACAAGTTATTGGAGGGTAGGACGGGAACATATTTGGTGGGGACCGAATATGATAACAGCTGATAAGGGCTGACAAGGCGCCGAAAGGCACGAGTCATCAAATGAATATCGCGTGTCACAGCAGCAATGAAGCGTGGATTCGTCAAGTGATGTAGAGTGTGGGACGGGAACATATTTGGTGGTGGACCGAGAATGATAATAGTTGATAAAAGCTCATAATAACGATGTAGCTAAGAACATTAGGGCGCGTTCAAACCTGATATAGCAGAAGAGAATCACTACCCAGTTCATTTTTATTTCATTTGCGTTCCATAGTCAGCACCATACTCCCTTCGACCGCTACTTTGCCTAAATTTCCTGCGAATGTGTGTAGAGGCTGTCTGAAGAAATGCGATATATGATGGCATTTCTGTCTCAACATCATTAGCACCAAATATTATTTCGACCGCTAAATCACGCTGACATTCAAGGCATGGTGGTTGTTTACATACACCACTTCACTTCTGCAAGCTATCGCGCGTATCAAGCGGTGAGCTTCAGCAGAAGTGGGGAGGCTATGAAAATGTCGGCTAGGGTATTTCATGATGCAAATCAGCGCTGGGACAACGAAGCAGTGGGACATTGCGTGCTGTTTAGTTTCACGGCCTACCGCTAAGAAAAGCTATAGACACCTGCAGAATTTGAGCTCAAAATTTGGTGCAATATTTATGGGACACCCTGTAGTTACTTGGTTCTTCTGCCTTGTGTTTCTACTGTATTAGCACCTTGACGACAGCGCGGCAACTATATGCCTCCATTTGCAGCCACATTGTGGCAACTACATATATGCCACAGCAGGACCCGCCGTAGCCAGCTCCTGTTTGTTTATGATATGTGTTTCGTTTGTGATACATAGATACAATTCGGGGAGCGAGTAGAGTGTATTGCGCCTAGAGGGGAGCGAGGTTCACGCGAAAGTATACAAAATATTTACAGTCACCATTAAGCCACAGATTGCTAAGGAGGCACGTCATCTATCATACAGAGAAAGTGTAGGGGCAGAAGCAAAACGTACAGTCCATATCTCGAAGTCAGATTAGGCGTGTCTGTGGATTTGACGTGGCCGCCGCACTTCGATAGAAGCCGCGGATTGGCTGTTTCCAACATATTCCGTTGGATATCAGCAAAGCATGCTGGAAGCAGCTTATCCACGCTATTTCTATCAAGTGCGGCCGCGGCCACGTCAGCTGCAGCCCTCATGGGTTTACGCGGTCTATCGTGACGGGTTGCTCAGAAGACAGGCTCCAAAAATTTCCCGACCCCTTTCCATGTCCTTTCGTAAGGAGCACTGTGAAGAACGAACAATCTATGCACTCATCGAGGCTAAACTGATGACATTGTTCACGTCAACCTGTTCGCTGCATGTTGCAGAAAAATGAGCCATTCTTTCTCCTGAGATTTCCATATAGCCTTCACTTATGAGGAAGCCGGATGGAGTTTCACACGCAACACAATCAACTATTTATTAGTCACTTGAGGAAGAATCGAGAACTCATTCTCTGTTCTTCAATAGGTCAGGAACAAGAACCACCTCCGAATGAGCCACGGTTTTGCTATTTTACTTAGCTTTTCTTAATCACTTTCTTCTGAAAGCATCGAACAATCAAAAGGAAGCAACAAAAAACGCATTGTTGTCTGCGGCCCACATGTGGGCTATGTCTTGCCAGAGAGTCAAATATTTTTCAT